GCTAGCCACCCCTGTAGGACAGAGTCACACTACCCAGTGGGTTTCTGGGACTGTAACTGCTCGCAAGAGGAGAAGGTCTCATCTTCCACCTTCAGAGTAGTAGGTGGGTTCAAACTGCTGACGTTTCAGTAACAGCCCAATGCAGAACCACACACACCCAGGGCTCCACAGACTTTAGGGACAATTTTCCATCCATAAGCCCTTCCATGGTTTCACATGACATCTAAGACAAAATGCTAACTTCCTCCCATGGTTCACAGCTCTGCATCTTCCACCAGGCCCCATGATCCAGTGTCTCACAGGGCTGCCCCCCCCCCACCTACACACACACACACTCACTGGCTCCTTCCTTTCTCCAAGACTTGGCTTGTTGGACTCTCGCACTCTTTCTGTGGCCGGCTCTTTGTATCCCTTAGGTCTCTCAGAACTGGTCCCCATCATTCCTCTGTCTGTTAGACTTTGTCACAGAGCCCCTCCCAACGCGGTTAGTGAGTGTCTCTAGCTTTGTTGGGGAGGGGAGTGTCTGGAAGGAAGGCAGGCTTTCCCGGGCCATCTGACGCTGGAGGGGGAGGAAGGTAGCTTGAGATCTGCAGGGCGGGACGGGCGCCCTTCTTCTGCCTTCACAGGAGACCTAATGCAATTACTAAGCTAGTGCTTACCAAGCCATTGACCCTTCTAGTTTTCATCAAAATGAACACTTCTTCCAAATAAAGTGGACTCCACTGAGAGGCGAACCAAGGATGGAGCTCCAAAAGTGTAGGGCAGGTTAGCCATACTGTCAGCTAACTCAACTGAAAACATCCAGTCATTTAGAATAGGCTTCTCTCTGCAGAAGGGCCACGGCGAGGACAACCATGAGCAATCCTGAAACACAAACTCTGGAGGAGGAAGCAGTGTTAGAATCCTAAAAGGAACAGAATTTGGCTCAAATGGTTACACACTGGCGTCTTCGAAGAGAGGATGGCAGTGTGAACTCAGCCAGAGGCACCCCACAAGGAAGTTCCGGCGATCATCTTCCCAAAGGTCACAGCCATAGGATCCTACGTGGTTCAGTTTCATCTCCCGATGTGGGGACACCATGGTGGGAATGAACTTGAGGGCAACTGTCGTTAGAAATCAAGGTTTGATAGCAATGTCGGCCCTGTGAGGTTACTCGGGGCACAGGTAGAGAGCAGATGCTCTTGGGGAGAAACTTAGAGGCTGAGGCCGACTCCCGGAGCTGTCGATCAGGAGAGAAGAATGGGAATTGAGGGGAGAGATCAGAAAGGGAGACAAAGACCAGTAAAGACCGGGGTGGCACCAGGATGTTGACTTTCTCATTGCGGATCACAGGGCATCCCTCCTTAGTTAAATGCTGATGGTGTGAGAGGTGGGAGGTGGTTTTCCTGTGACCACTTTGTTTAGTGATTACAAAAGGCCAGATGAAGGCCAGCCCTCTCGTTAGACAGTCCATCTGTGTCTGGTGTTAGGTACCATC